CAGCCATCCTGTGTAGGTGTATAGGGTTTCCAAGGTGCGGTTGGTGAGTTTGAACTGCCGACCTTGCGGTCCAGTACTTTATCCCACAGTGTTACACCAGGACTCCTGCAATATGGTGGTGGTTATGTGCCGTGGAGTTGGTTCCAAATCATAGCGACCCTATACAGGGTTTTCGAGATTATAAATCTTTACAGGAGCAGAAAGCCTCATCTTTCTCTCACGGAACAGCTGGTAGTTTCGAACTGCTGACCTTGAGGTTTGCAGGCCGACTCGTAACCACTACGCTACCAGAGCTCCTTCTTCTACAGTATGGGGAATTGTTTTTGTTCTGTGCTGCCGAGTCGATTCTGAGGAGCAGCTCATGATTGAGCCACCGAACCACCGACCTTGCAATTCAAACGGCTTTGCAGTCTGGCGCACTAACCCACAGCGCCACACCAGAACTCCCAGTATGGGGAGTGAGAAATACTAAGCGGATACAAGTATTGCTCACTGAAAGAGATAAATTATTGACTAAACAGATGTTTTCTGTGCTAACTGCAGGCTGAGATCCACCCTTGTCCTTCCGTGTCTCTTCTGTCTTGTTGAATAATTTTTTTTCTCTTGTCCCTGACTGAACATGTTTCAGAATACATGCAATTGATCTTAAACTGTTCATTAGGTTCCTGTGGATTTGGATCTTTTAGCCTTTTGTAGCATCTGAAATCACATTCCTAGCTTCTGGGAGAAAGCTGATTGAGCTTCATGAAGACTGAAATATTATGCTTCTCAAGGCTTTAACCGCTTCTTTAAGTGGGGGCGAAGGCCCTTCCTGCCGTTGGAGACAGAGGATGCCTTGTTCCATTGCTCCCGAATATGCCCTCCAGTCTCTAGTCTTCGTCCCCGAAGCTTGTACAACTGTGGAAACTACAATACCCAGAAAGCTCTGCGCAGAGCGGAAGTGGCGTTGAGCCAATGAATGTCCAGGAGAGAGACATTTCCTCTCGCGGGCATCATGTCAGGCAGAACATCCGGCGTCTTCCTCGTCGCGGTCATTTTGATTGTTCTCACGTGTGCTCAGCCCATTAGTGGTTACACTGGGCCGGGTGCGGACGCGTCTACGTGAGAGACGGCGTTGTCAAGGCCCAGAAACGTTTGTGAGTCAGGCCTGCGACGCCGCCCTGGGTGTCGGGGCCGGGACCGGGCTGGGCGCGGCCTTGTCCAGGTCTCCGCCCACCCTCCACCCCCGCCTCTCACGGCCACGCGCCGCCCACAGGCCCGGATGGCGGCGTCCGGGCGGAAGGAGCTGCCTCAGGTAAAGGCGCCGGGGAACCCTAGCACCTCGGATCAGGGCCGTCTGCGCACGGGTGTGGCCCGGGGGGGAGCGTCAGGAGCCCAGAGCCGTCCGTGTAGACCCGAGACCCTCTCGTCTTTAGGGGTGGGAGTCAAGCCTGTAATATCAAACGGAGGGCTTGCACCGCCCTTGTCGGGGAGGGTTTGATGAGAAGAGGAACTTGTGTGTTGTGTGCGTCTCCAATTTCCCAGAAGCTGCTCAGGGCAAATGAGTGTAAGTGGGGTGGTAAGGAGGAGGCCCCCAAACACAAAACCCACCGCCTTCTAGTCTAGTCCGACGCAGCGAGCCTCTAGGACAGGGTAGACCTCCATGGGAGCAGGCAGCCTCGTCTTCCTCAGGCACAGACCTGCTGGGTTCGAACCGCTCCCCTTTTTTACTTAGTAGCCCATCTCTGGAGTCCACAAGGTCGCTTTGAACCCGAAGGTTGGCGGTTCAAACTCACCAGTCGGCTATACAGGGGTCAGTATATGTCGGAACATTTCACCCCCCCAACACACCACAACAGCCCATCTCTGGCTCCTGGGATGGCGCTGTAGGGTTAGCACTGGCCTGTGACCCCAAGCCTTGGACAAGGTAATAACTGGTAAGATTCGTTCTCAGTGACCTGGAGGTCCGCTGGACCTTTGCAGAGTGGCAGAAGTGCCCATGGACCCCGCGCTGCTGAGGAGTGTACCCCAGAGCCCCGCTGTTTGTGACTCCACCTGGAGGGGTCTAGGAGTGTGGTGTCCCGGGGTATAAGGAGAGCTGGTGTTCCAGCTTTATCTGCTGTTCATCTAGTCCTTAACTAACCCCAAACCGGGGTACAGAGTTAAGGCCATGTTGTTGGAAGGTTATCCAAGGCATAGGTAGAACTATGTGCAAATGTTTGGAGTTGAGACTGAGCAGGAAGTGTTGACGGGACTACAGGTTTCCGATTCTCGTGGGAGTAGAGTCAGGCTTGGAATGGCTCCCTGAGAAGTTGACCGTCTGCCCTGGAGCTCAGGGGAGTATCAGGAGCTTAGGATCCCAGTACGGATGTGACTTGTGTGGCAGGAAAACTCGGGAAGACGCTACTGCCGTAGTCCAGGCGCAGCTTCAAGGTGACTGGACTAGTTGGCTGTGGAAGTGGAGGACATTTGTGGATTTGGTATTTAATAAATCTAGGTAGGGCTGCCAGACTTCAGGGAGAGTAGGGTAGGAGCTCTGGTAGCGTAGTGGTTACGAATCGGATTGTGAACCGCAAGCTCAACAGTTTGAAACTACCAGCGTTTCCGCGGAAGAAAGATGAGGCTTTCTGCTCCGGTTAAAGATTTGCAGCCTCGGAAACCCTGTACTGGATCACTATGAGACGGACCTACTCCAGGGCACATAACAACCACAACAAGGGTAGGAGTCAGGGATGATGCTAACTTTTTTTTTTTAATGTAAATGTTGTTAAGTACCATGGAGTTGGTTCCCACACAGTGACCCTGCACAGGGTTTCTGAGGCTGTAAATCTTTACGGGAGCAGAAAACCTCATCTTTCTCCCTTGGAACAGCTGGTAATTTCAAACTGCCGACATTGAGCTTAGCAGCCTGATTCATAACCACTATACTACCAGTAAATAGGTCTGTGCCATCTCACAATTGCTGCGACACTTGATGCTGCCACTGTCCCTCCACATTACCAAGCATCGTGTTCTTGTCCAGGGACTGGTCCCTTTTGATAATATTCTAAAGTAAAACAGACAGAGTCTGGCCATCCTGGCTTCTAAGGAACATTCTGGCTGTACATCTTCCAAAACAGATTGGTTTATTCTTCTGGCAATCCATTCTTCTTCAATAATATTCTTCTTCAATACCATAATTCAAATGCATCGATTCTTCTGTGGTCTTATTCACTGTCCAACTTTCACATGCCTGTGAGGTGATTGAAAATACCATGGCTGGGGTAAGACACACTTTAGTCCTCAAACTGACAGCTTTACTCTTGAACACTTTAAAGAGGGCTTGTGCAGATTTGCCTAGTGCATTATGTCATTTGATTTTTTGACTGCTGCTTCCATGAGTGTTGATGGCTGATTCGAGCAAACAAGTCTTTGACAACTTCAGTATTTTATGATGATGTTATTTATTAGCCCAATGGTGAGGATTTTTGTTGCCTACATTAATTACAACCCATATGGAAGGCTGTGGTCTTTGATCTTCATCAGTATTTTAAGTCCTCTTTGCTTTCATCAAGCAAGGTTGTCTCACCTACATATTGCAGATTGTTAGTAAATCTTCCTCCAAACTTGATGCCACTTTCTTCTTCATAATCCAGCTTCTTAGATTATTTGTTTAGCATGCAGATTGAATAAGTATGGTGAAAGAAGACTGCCCTGGCACACACTTCTGCTGATTTTAAACCATGTAGAATCCCCTTGTTATGGCCCTCTTGAGCACAGTTAAGTCTTTCTGAATACTCATTCTCTGCAATGTTGTCTATAACTTGTCATGATGCACACAGTCGAAAGCCTTTGCATAGCCAATAAAACACAGGTAAATAAATATGTGGTATTCTGGTATTCTCTAGCTTTCAGCCCGTATCCATCTGACGTCATCAGTGATATCCCTCGTTCCACATCCTTGTCTGAATCTGGCTTGAACCTCTGGCAGCACCTGTCAATGTACTGTTGTAGTCACTTTTTAATTATCTTAGTAAAATTTTACTTGCATGTGTTATTAATGACATTGTCCAATGATTTCCACATTCTTTTGGGTCACCTTTCTTTGCAGTGGCACAAATACAGATCTCTCCCAATTAGTTTGTCAGATAACTGTCTTCTAAATTTCTTGGCATAGATGTGTGAGTGGCATTGGCAAAGACATTGTGAGTGAACTGGAATGGGAGAAATTATGTGTTGGCACCCTGCTAGAAACGTAATCTATCTTTTAGATCCCAAAGACAACATGTACATTGAATAGCAACCAAATCTCTGTTGTGGCAGAGTTGGAACCAGCAGTGTTGATGGTGATGGTGCCATCAAGTGGATTCTGACTCATCCTAACCCCCGTGCACAGCAGAACAAAACACTGCGTGGTCTTCCACCCTTACGTTTGTGATGTTGTGTTACCATTGTTGCTGTCGCTATATTAATCCATGTCATGGAGGGCCTTCCACATTTTCGCTGACCCTCTACTTTACCAAGCACAATGTCTTTCGCCAGGACTGGTCCTTCCTGACATTATATCCAAAGTACAGAAGACGAAATTTTACCATTCTCACTCTAAGGCTGCACTTCTTCCAAGACAGATTTATGTGTTCTTCTGGCATTCTGTGGTACTTTGACTATTCTTTAACAACACTGTAATTTTAAATGCGCCCAGTCTACTTGGTCTTCCTTATTCAGTGTGGAGCTTTCACACGCATATGAAGTGATTGAAAATACCTTGGCTTGGTTCAGGCACAACTTAGTTCTCAAAGTGACATCTTTACTCTTTTACACTTTAAAGAGATCTTTCGTAGTAGGCTTATTTGATTTTTTTCTTTTTTTTTTTTTGACTGTTGCTTCCATAAGTATTGGTTGTCATCCGAGCAAAATAAAGTCTTTGCATTTGGGGGCAAAAGGAGGAGGGGATTGATTAACCTTACAGTCTAGCAGCGGAGTCCCTGGGACCATTGAAGGAGAAGAACAGAGAATGGAACCCTACCCAGCGAAGCAGTGATGCCAGGGATGGAGGCAGAGACGACGACGTGGGGAGATGGAGCAGCTGGAGACTTTGGACCTGGAGAGAGAGAGGGGTGGTGTGCGGACGACCGGAGGGGCAGGCTTGCAGGGTATACCCTTTGGTTGATGGATGATGCATGGAAGGGATTGTAACCATGCCAAGGAAATGATCTACAACGGGATCAATGCGAAACTGATGTCCTCCCATGTAAACTATCACATAATTCACAATAAAGCATTAAAAAAAAACACAAAACAGTCTTTGACAGCTTCAGTATTTCCTCCGTTTATTGTGATGTTGTGTATTGGTGCAGTTGTAAGGATTCTCAGGTTCCTTACATTGTGGAATCTGTAGTGAAGGCTGTAGTCTTTGATCTTCATTAGTAATTGATGCATCTGCCCTTTGTCTTCTTAAGCTACCCTCCGAGATTTTCTGCTTGACTCTTCATCATTTCTTCCTGTTGCTTTGGCTTCTCTATGTTCAAGAGCAAGTTTAAGTCTTTTTCTGACCTTGAGTTTGGTCTTTTTGGGTTTTTTTCCTGTCTTTTTAATGACTTTTTGTTTTCTTCATGTGTGGTATTTTTGATATCATTCTACAACTCGTCTGGTCTTCAGTCATTAGTGTCCAATGCATCCAGTCTTTCTTAAGATAGTCTCTACACTTCAGGTAGCTCCCATGGACTTGTTTAATTCTATTCAGCTTCATTCTAGACTTGCATATGAACAATTGTTGGGCTGTTCCACAGTTGGCTCCTAGTCTTGTTATGGTGATGCTATTTAGCTTTGCCATTTTCTCTTCCCACGGATGTAGTGTCTTTAATTTCCTGTGTGTTCCTTCTGACGAGATCCATGTGTTTAGTCACTGTTTCTGTTGTTTAAAAGAGATATTTGTTGTTAAAGTGCCTTCGAGTCAGTTCCAACTCATAGTTACCCTCTATAGGGTTTCCGAGGAGTGGCTGATGAGTTTGAGCTGCTGACCTTACGGTCAAGTACAATGAATAAAATGTTGGTCTTGCAGATTATTTTATGGGCTCTCTAGCATCTTTTCTATCGCTAAAGCCATATTTCCCAAGTACCAATCTTTCCTCTTTGTTTCCAACTTTCACATTCCAATCACCAGTCATAATTAGTACACCTTAATTACACATTTGATTCATTTCAGATTGAAGAAGTTAGTAGAATTCTTCAGTTTCATCATCAACATCATTGTCATTGGAAACAGTGGTGTCCCATCAAAGATGGCAGCCAACTAAACCACTTTGAATATGGGTCACTCTTTACAGTCCTACTACC